AAAATCTTAACTTTTCAGCACTTTTGTTGTTTCAGTCCTTAAAGGTGAAGTATGCAACATTAAAGCAGTGAGAGTTAAGTATTAGTCTCATAGGTTCTTCTTTTAGTTTTATATGTAGAATTACTTCATTAAAAAAAACAACAACCTAGTAGTGTGTCCATTTTTGCTGGCACTGTAATATTTAACCCTAGTAGATTTTATGTAGTGAAGGCATAAAAAAGAAGAAAACTGTTAGAAATTATTGTAGCAACTATTTACCCTCACAGCAAGATCTTGTGGTAGTTTATATGCTGCTACAGGTACTGGGGAACATCATATTTTAATATTAATCAGTTGTGAATAGTGTAAGTAAATCATTTCTCTTTACTTAAAACACCTAGAATTAGTCTGATTTTTTGCCTCCATGTATTTTTTAGAAAGGAGCATCTGCACTAATTATGAACAGTTAAGAAAGCAACTCCTCATTCTGACATTTGTTTTAAAAAGTTTACAGTAATTAAATCCTTCATTTATGAAGGGATTTTTTCAAATATTTAATTGTCTTAAATAACTATATCATTTGTAGCACAACTCTATTTACATTAGGATCATGAACAGACATCTACTTATGAAGTGAGTTTGTTCTTCTATAGCCCCTTCGAGGCTCCCAAAATCTGTAGAGGATCTTCTAATTTTCTGGAGCAGATTTGAGGAAGCATAACTCTAGTCTCTGTCAAAAGAAACTAAGATTTTATCTTATTCAAGAACACCTAACTAATGAAAAATAACCTTGAAGTTTGTAACACTTTTATTCAACATAACTTGTCTTAAACATTTTAAATTAGAAATGTATTATATTGCTTAATTCACAATTTATATATTATTCAAACATAGAAAAATAAATATAATACTAATAAATTAGCACAATTCAAAAGTTTACATTATTATAATCCCTTTAATCTCTCTTACTTTTGTCTCCAAGTTTGTGGAAGCAATAAACCAGTTAATCAGGCAGGCACTCTGTTAAGACTGAAAGAAACTGAAAGAACCTGCATTCTGTGACTTTAAAATAACTAGGAAAAAAATACCTGACTCATGAGCATGTTTTTGTTCATTTTCCATGCCAAATATTTCATTTATCTCTAAATACACAGTATTGTCAATGTTGGAAATGTTTCTTAAAATGTCACTTAGTCAATAGAAATTCTAGCTGGAATGTCTACTTGAACTCCAAATTTTTCAGACAGTGTTTTCAATTTCTCTTCTAAGATAATATTTTTTTTAACTTCTTCATTATAGTTGTATTTTAGATCTTCAATTTCTTCAAAAAAAGCTGGATCAAAGTGGTCCAATTCATTTTTAAGTTTTTTGACTTCTTCCTAATGAGAAACAGAACTTTATAGATTAATCCTAACATATTCACACATGAAAAAATAAATGTGTTCAGCATAATCCATTAATTTCATCAGATATATAACAATATCTTTAGTTTTTTGTCCTACATTCAAAAGGGGTTCTTGGTTTCTTCATGCTGTATGAGTTTAAAAGCACGTGTTTATCTTCGCATTTTAGTTCTAATCTGACATTTTGAAAAATGGTTTCTAGTGCAAAAGGACACTTTAACCAAGAATTAAATAGCTTGTATTCAATACATTCCTCACAGTAACATCAACTTCATTTTGCCTCTAATTTTTGTAAAGTTACAGTCCAATATAAGGGAAATTGATCTTGAGAAGTTTATCTTGCTTAACTTGAAAAGCAAGATAAAACTGTGACTGAATGTTGTAATATTTAGCAATGAAATCCTGTAAAACGATCCATTTCAATGTAGGAATATTTTCTAAGTCTATAGACAGTATGGATATTTTGCAAATGACCAGTGAATTGAAAAATTACAGTACTAACATGAAGTCGCTGCTGTTCCAAATCTGAAGATTTAAGCTGTGTCTTGAGGTCTGTTACTTCTGCCGCTAGTTTGTAGTTTCCAGTTTTCTCTAAGTATTCAAATGGAAGTTTATAGATATAAATACAAATGAATACACATACATTTTCATACATCCAAGAAATGTGTCATTGGATAAATATGTGTGGTATTAGCCCTTTTTATTCAAGGATATAATATCATAAAATTCTGCACTACTTAAATAGTTGATAATTCATTGCAAATAGCTACGCAAGAGACCTATTAATATAACTAGGTAGAGGATTTCAGAAACCTTATATGAACTCCCACAGTTCTTTGAAAGGTTTGATTAGTTACATTATATAACTAAGTATTCTATATATTACCAGCTGCAAGGTCATCTCCTTTCTTAAGTTTTGTTTGATTTCGAGAAGATTCCACTGAGTAAACTAGTTCTGCTTTTTCCTTTTCCAAGCGATCGTTAGTTAATCTGTAAAACCACAAAATAAGGTGCAGAAGTCCAGGTAATTCTATTTGATGTTTGAGTTCTGTTCCGCAAAGGAAACACTTTTTTGTGCCTTACCGGAGAAGCTGAATTTCTCTGATATATTCTTGCTCTGTTTTGCTACCCCCAGGAACGCTTTTGAGAACCTTAGTCTTTTCATGAAAAGAAGAGAGTTACATTTTAATATTAGGAGCTTCT